GTAGCTTGTTTTGAGACGTCTCAAGAGACTCCAGGTAGGTGGCTTGTTTTGAGACGTCTCAAGAGACTCCAGGTAGGTAGCTTGTTTTGAGACGTCTCAAGAGACTCCAGGTAGGTGGCTTGTTTTGAGACGTCTCAAGAGACTCCAGGTAGGTGGCTTGTTTTGAGACGTCTCAAGAGACTCCAGGTAGGTAGCTTGTTTTGAGACGTCTCAAGAGACTCCAGGTAGGTGGCTTGTTTTGTGACGTCTCAAGAGACTCCAGGTAGGTAGCTTGTTTTGAGACGTCTCAAGAGACTCCAGGTAGGTAGCTTGTTTTGAGACGTCTCAAGAGACTCCAGGTAGGTAGCTTGTTTTGAGACGTCTCAAGAGACTCCAGGTAGGTAGCTTGTTTTGAGACGTCTCAAGAGACTCCAGGTAGGTGGCTTGTTTTGAGACGTCTCAAGAGACTCCAGGTAGGTAGCTTGTTTTGAGACGTCTCAAGAGACTCCAGGTAGGTAGCTTGTTTTGAGACGTCTCAAGAGACTCCAGGTAGGTGGCTTGTTTTGAGACGTCTCAAGAGACTCCAGGTAGGTAGCTTGTTTTGAGACGTCTCAAGAGACTCCAGGTAGGTAGCTTGTTTTGAGACGTCTCAAGAGACTCCAGGTAGGTAGCTTGTTTTGAGACGTCTCAAGAGACTCCAGGTAGGTGGCTTGTTTTGAGACGTCTCAAGAGACTCCAGGTAGGTAGCTTGTTTTGAGACGTCTCAAGAGACTCCAGGTAGGTGGCTTGTTTTGAGACGTCTCAAGAGACTCCAGGTAGGTAGCTTGTTTTGAGACGTCTCAAGAGACTCCAGGTAGGTGGCTTGTTTTGAGACGTCTCAAGAGACTCCAGGTAGGTAGCTTGTTTTGAGACGTCTCAAGAGACTCCAGGTAGGTAGCTTGTTTTGAGACGTCTCAAGAGACTCCAGGTAGGTAGCTTGTTTTGAGACGTCTCAAGAGACTCCAGGTAGGTAGCTTGTTTTGAGACGTCTCAAGAGACTCCAGGTAGGTGGCTTGTTTTGAGACGTCTCAAGAGACTCCAGGTAGGTAGCTTGTTTTGAGACGTCTCAAGAGACTCCAGGTAGGTGGCTTGTTTTGAGACGTCTCAAGAGACTCCAGGTAGGTAGCTTGTTTTGAGACGTCTCAAGAGACTCCAGGTAGGTAGCTTGTTTTGAGACGTCTCAAGAGACTCCAGGTAGGTGGCTTGTTTTGAGACGTCTCAAGAGACTCCAGGTAGGTAGCTTGTTTTGAGACGTCTCAAGAGACTCCAGGTAGGTGGCTTGTTTTGAGACGTCTCAAGAGACTCCAGGTAGGTGGCTTGTTTTGAGACGTCTCAAGAGACTCCAGGTAGGTAGCTTGTTTTGAGACGTCTCAAGAGACTCCAGGTAGGTGGCTTGTTTTGTGACGTCTCAAGAGACTCCAGGTAGGTAGCTTGTTTTGAGACGTCTCAAGAGACTCCAGGTAGGTGGCTTGTTTTGAGACGTCTCAAGAGACTCCAGGTAGGTAGCTTGTTTTGAGACGTCTCAAGAGACTCCAGGTAGGTAGCTTGTTTTGAGACGTCTCAAGAGACTCCAGGTAGGTGGCTTGTTTTGAGACGTCTCAAGAGACTCCAGGTAGGTAGCTTGTTTTGAGACGTCTCAAGAGACTCCAGGTAGGTAGCTTGTTTTGAGACGTCTCAAGAGACTCCAGGTAGGTAGCTTGTTTTGAGACGTCTCAAGAGACTCCAGGTAGGTAGCTTGTTTTGAGACGTCTCAAGAGACTCCAGGTAGGTAGCTTGTTTTGAGACGTCTCAAGAGACTCCAGGTAGGTGGCTTGTTTTGAGACGTCTCAAGAGACTCCAGGTAGGTAGCTTGTTTTGAGACGTCTCAAGAGACTCCAGGTAGGTGGCTTGTTTTGAGACGTCTCAAGAGACTCCAGGTAGGTAGCTTGTTTTGAGACGTCTCAAGAGACTCCAGGTAGGTGGCTTGTTTTGAGACGTCTCAAGAGACTCCAGGTAGGTAGCTTGTTTTGAGACGTCTCAAGAGACTCCAGGTAGGTGGCTTGTTTTGAGACGTCTCAAGAGACTCCAGGTAGGTAGCTTGTTTTGAGACGTCTCAAGAGACTCCAGGTAGGTAGCTTGTTTTGAGACGTCTCAAGAGACTCCAGGTAGGTAGCTTGTTTTGAGACGTCTCAAGAGACTCCAGGTAGGTAGCTTGTTTTGAGACGTCTCAAGAGACTCCAGGTAGGTGGCTTGTTTTGAGACGTCTCAAGAGACTCCAGGTAGGTAGCTTGTTTTGAGACGTCTCAAGAGACTCCAGGTAGGTGGCTTGTTTTGAGACGTCTCAAGAGACTCCAGGTAGGTAGCTTGTTTTGAGACGTCTCAAGAGACTCCAGGTAGGTAGCTTGTTTTGAGACGTCTCAAGAGACTCCAGGTAGGTGGCTTGTTTTGAGACGTCTCAAGAGACTCCAGGTAGGTAGCTTGTTTTGAGACGTCTCAAGAGACTCCAGGTAGGTGGCTTGTTTTGAGACGTCTCAAGAGACTCCAGGTAGGTGGCTTGTTTTGAGACGTCTCAAGAGACTCCAGGTAGGTAGCTTGTTTTGAGACGTCTCAAGAGACTCCAGGTAGGTGGCTTGTTTTGTGACGTCTCAAGAGACTCCAGGTAGGTAGCTTGTTTTGAGACGTCTCAAGAGACTCCAGGTAGGTGGCTTGTTTTGAGACGTCTCAAGAGACTCCAGGTAGGTAGCTTGTTTTGAGACGTCTCAAGAGACTCCAGGTAGGTAGCTTGTTTTGAGACGTCTCAAGAGACTCCAGGTAGGTGGCTTGTTTTGAGACGTCTCAAGAGACTCCAGGTAGGTAGCTTGTTTTGAGACGTCTCAAGAGACTCCAGGTAGGTAGCTTGTTTTGAGACGTCTCAAGAGACTCCAGGTAGGTGGCTTGTTTTGAGACGTCTCAAGAGACTCCAGGTAGGTAGCTTGTTTTGAGACGTCTCAAGAGACTCCAGGTAGGTAGCTTGTTTTGAGACGTCTCAAGAGACTCCAGGTAGGTAGCTTGTTTTGAGACGTCTCAAGAGACTCCAGGTAGGTAGCTTGTTTTGAGACGTCTCAAGAGACTCCAGGTAGGTGGCTTGTTTTGAGACGTCTCAAGAGACTCCAGGTAGGTAGCTTGTTTTGAGACGTCTCAAGAGACTCCAGGTAGGTGGCTTGTTTTGAGACGTCTCAAGAGACTCCAGGTAGGTAGCTTGTTTTGAGACGTCTCAAGAGACTCCAGGTAGGTAGCTTGTTTTGAGACGTCTCAAGAGACTCCAGGTAGGTAGCTTGTTTTGAGACGTCTCAAGAGACTCCAGGTAGGTGGCTTGTTTTGAGACGTCTCAAGAGACTCCAGGTAGGTAGCTTGTTTTGAGACGTCTCAAGAGACTCCAGGTAGGTAGCTTGTTTTGAGACGTCTCAAGAGACTCCAGGTAGGTGGCTTGTTTTGAGACGTCTCAAGAGACTCCAGGTAGGTAGCTTGTTTTGAGACGTCTCAAGAGACTCCAGGTAGGTAGCTTGTTTTGAGACGTCTCAAGAGACTCCAGGTAGGTAGCTTGTTTTGAGACGTCTCAAGAGACTCCAGGTAGGTGGCTTGTTTTGAGACGTCTCAAGAGACTCCAGGTAGGTAGCTTGTTTTGAGACGTCTCAAGAGACTCCAGGTAGGTAGCTTGTTTTGAGACGTCTCAAGAGACTCCAGGTAGGTAGCTTGTTTTGAGACGTCTCAAGAGACTCCAGGTAGGTAGCTTGTTTTGAGACGTCTCAAGAGACTCCAGGTAGGTGGCTTGTTTTGAGACGTCTCAAGAGACTCCAGGTAGGTAGCTTGTTTTGAGACGTCTCAAGAGACTCCAGGTAGGTGGCTTGTTTTGAGACGTCTCAAGAGACTCCAGGTAGGTAGCTTGTTTTGAGACGTCTCAAGAGACTCCAGGTAGGTAGCTTGTTTTGAGACGTCTCAAGAGACTCCAGGTAGGTAGCTTGTTTTGAGACGTCTCAAGAGACTCCAGGTAGGTAGCTTGTTTTGAGACGTCTCAAGAGACTCCAGGTAGGTGGCTTGTTTTGAGACGTCTCAAGAGACTCCAGGTAGGTGGCTTGTTTTGAGACGTCTCAAGAGACTCCAGGTAGGTAGCTTGTTTTGAGACGTCTCAAGAGACTCCAGGTAGGTAGCTTGTTTTGAGACGTCTCAAGAGACTCCAGGTAGGTAGCTTGTTTTGAGACGTCTCAAGAGACTCCAGGTAGGTAGCTTGTTTTGAGACGTCTCAAGAGACTCCAGGTAGGTAGCTTGTTTTGAGACGTCTCAAGAGACTCCAGGTAGGTGGCTTGTTTTGAGACGTCTCAAGAGACTCCAGGTAGGTAGCTTGTTTTGAGACGTCTCAAGAGACTCCAGGTAGGTAGCTTGTTTTGAGACGTCTCAAGAGACTCCAGGTAGGTAGCTTGTTTTGAGACGTCTCAAGAGACTCCAGGTAGGTAGCTTGTTTTGAGACGTCTCAAGAGACTCCAGGTAGGTGGCTTGTTTTGAGACGTCTCAAGAGACTCCAGGTAGGTAGCTTGTTTTGAGACGTCTCAAGAGACTCCAGGTAGGTGGCTCACCGCACAAGGGAGTGGAAAGAGACTCCTGGTAGCTTGCTGCACACAGTGTGTGGCTTATGAGCCAGGTTAGGAGCGACTTACGGGTCAACTCTACTCTACAGTCAAATGTGCGGCCCTCCTTTGTTTTTATCGACAAGATTGATGTGCTGTGCCCCAAACGAGACTCCAGGTTATGTAAACAAGACTTATGGGTCACTGAAAGAACCCAAACGGGCTTTAAGTGAGGTTATGTGAACAAGCACGTGGTCGTGGTGTGCCCCCTTGAACAGCATTCCCTATTCTTCTGACTCTCGAGTTTGTGGCTCTGATTGTGTGGCTCTGATTGTGTGGCTCTGATTGTGTGTGAGCAGGCGGCAGAACGAGACAAGAATAGTGTCTCAGCTTCTCACTCTCATGGACGGCATTTCCACTTCCTCACTCCCCTCCTCCTCCCCTCTCCAATCCTCCTCCTCCCAATCCACCGCTTCCCACCCTTCCCGACCACTTGTTGTCATCGCTGCCACCAATCGGTAAGGGAAACCTTTCCCACCTATTCCGACCTCATCCCACCTCCACATATCACTGCCTCCGTTCCTCTTCCCTGCAACAAAACAGCCCTGTTTCAAGTGAGTACTTCTCATACCTTCCTGCTATGCCGATTCCTTTCCTCTACCTCCCACTCCTCACCCAGCCCTCCTTTCTTCCTGATCCACCCTCCGCACCTCAAACCCCCTCCCTTCCAATGGCAGCCCCAACGCACTAGATGCCGCACTACGCCGGCCGGGAAGATTCGACCGCGAGATTGCAATCAACGTACCAGGCACGAGGGAGAGAGATGCGATACTAAAGGTGAGTAAAAATCATGAACTGGGGATTTTTCAAGTAAGAATTTCTCTGCAACATTCTGGCTAGAAGGAAAATCCAGCCATCTTATTATTGCTCTCTCCCGGTCTCCCTTTGAGAATTTTCAAAACAATCTCTGCTGCTCACTTGTCTTCTCTGTCTCCCTCCTCCCGCCTCTCCTCCTTCCCGCCTCTCCCCCAGCTGCATGCGCGCTCCCTCCCTCTGCATGCTGACGTGGACATGCGGCAACTGGCGGCGCGTTGCAAGGGCTACGTGGGTGCTGACCTGGCAGCGGTGTGTCGCGAGGCTGCCCTTGCTGCCGTCATGGAGATGGCTGCTGGGGAGGAGGAGAGGGGAGGGGAGGCGTTTTCTGGGGGAGGAGGGGCGGTGGTAGGAGAAGGGGAGGCGGTTTTGGGGAAAAAGGAGGCGGCTCTTGCTGCCCTCATGGAGATGGCTGCTGGGGAAGAGGAGAGTGTTCCTGGAGTAGGGGAGGTGTTATTTGGAAGAAGGGAGGCGTTATCTGGAGAAGGGGAGGTGGTTTCTGGTGTAGAGAGGCTGGATGGCAACAGCGCCCATGCAACGGAAAGCAGCAGCACCGCCACCACCATCAGCAGCAGCTGCATGACCAGCAGAACGAATGATGTCGGCAGCGGCGCAGACAAAGAAAGCAGCAGTATTGGTACCAGCACCGCTACTGCCACGCACATTGATACTGCTACTAGTACTGCTGCCACCACTGTTACTGATACAGATACCGATGCCAGCACAGCATGCAGCAACTTAAAGCCCACACGCACCAATCAGCGTGGGCTGGTATGCATGAGGCACTTTGAAGCGGCGCTTTCTCGTGTGGGGCCTTCTGTGACTCGCGGTGTGGCCGCTGAGCTGCCTGCCGTCACGTGGAACGACATTGGAGGCTTAGAGGGTGTCAAGGTGAGAGCGTATGTTAAGGGGAAACTGCTGTATGTGCTGCAGACAGCTATGCTCTCTCGTGTGGGCCTGTCTGTGACTCGTGGCGTGGCGGCTGAGCTGCCTGCTGTCACGTGGAACGACATTGGAGGGCTGGAGGGCGTCAAGGTGAGAATAAAGTTAGAACTGGGGGTCTGGAGGGTGTGGGGCTGGTATGGTATGCATGAGACATTTTGAGGTGGCGTTGCAGGGAGTTGCATTTTGAGGTGGCGTTGCAGGAGACATTTTGAGAATTCTCAAAAACTCCCTGCAACGTCTGGAGGGTGTGGGGCTGGTATGCATGAGACATTCTGAGGTGGCGCTCTCTTGTGACCAGGGACCAGGGACCAGGGAGTGAGCCGCTCTGCCCCTCATCCCCCCTTTCTCCCTTTCACTCCTTCCCCTGCGCCCCTACCCCCGTCTACTCCTCCCCACCACTCTCAACCGCACAGAAGCTGTTACAAATGGCAGTGGAGTGGCCGCTACAACACCCTGAAGCCTTCCTGCGCCTCGCTCTCACCCCCCCCAGGGGAGTGCTGCTGCACGGCCCTCCCGGGGGCGGCAAAACAATGCTCGCCCTGGCCGCTGCCCACGCTTCCAAGGCAACACTCTTCTCTCTCAGGTGGGTTTCTTCGTTCCATTTGAGCCGACTCTAGGCTCTCACACCCCCCAGAGGTGTCCTGCTGCGCGGCTCACCTGGGGGAGGCAAGACCCTGCTCGCCCTCGCTGCTGCCCATGCCTCCAAGGCCACGCTCTTCTCTCTCAGGTGTGCTTTCGAGTTGACTCAAGGATCCACTCTCACCCCCTTTTGAGGCGCCTCAAAAGTCAAGGGTCGCTCTCAGCCCCCCCAGGGGAGTGCTGCTGCACGGCCCTCCCGGGGGAGGAAAGACAATGCTCACCCTCGCTGCTGCCCATGCCTCCAAGGCAACGCTCTTCTCCCTCAGGTGTGCTCTCCTCTCCTCTCCTCTCCTCTCCTCTCCTCACTTTTCCTCGCCTCTCCTCTCCACTCTCAACTCTCGTGCCTCTTGCCCCCTTACCTTTCTGCTTTCACTCATGCAGCGGTCCTCCGTGTATGTGGGCGAGGGTGGGGCTATTCATCAAGGCACTAACCGCTGCTGACCTCTGTTGAACCTGTTAGAAGCACTGATGAAGGCCTAAGGGGTTCTGTCCCGAAGGCCGAAACTAGCTTGCGAAAAAGGGTTTTCTCGAGTCCAAAGGTTTTGAGATCTCTCTGAATTTCTAGGAGCAAGTTTCACAAGTCTTGATCCTTTTGATTCCTTCTGGTTTGCAGCTACTCCACGATATGTTTTTTGGGAATTCTAAAAAAACATACTCCACGATTCACTCATGCAGCGGTACTCCGTGTATGTGGGCGATGGTGAGGCTATTCATCAAGGCACTAACCGCTGCTGACCTCTGCCCATCCATATGTTCTGTTCCCTCGTGCCTCCTTCCGTCACGAGCAGCGGTGCAGACGTTTTTTCCATTTGTGTGGGCGAGAGAGAGGGGATGCTCAAAAGAGCACACTGTTCCATTTGTGTGGGCGAGAGAAAGGGGAAAAACGTCTGCACCGCTGCTCAAAAGAGCACAAATGGAAAACTGTTCCTCCATGTACTGGGGGACCCACTGGGGGGCTGTTGTTTCCATGCATGTCCCTTATAAGGGATGTGAGGGATGTGGAAGACACTCACATGTTTATGCTTTCACCTGTCCTCTTTACTTTCTTATCGCAGCGGTGCAGACCTGTTTTCCATGTATGTGGGCGAGGGGGAGGCGATGCTGAAAGACACGTTCCGATTGGCTCGCATGGCGGCTCCCAGCGTCGTGTTTGTGGACGAGGTCGACGTGGTGGGGGGACGCAGGTGGGTACAGAGCGGTACGGAACAGTGCAGCGTGATGTGGGGTGGTGCAATGCGATGCAGTCTACGTGTATGATACAGAATCAGATCTGACCCTGTCAAGAAACGTTCCGCCTGGCTCGCATGGCGGCTCCCTGCGTCGTGTTTGTGGACGAGGTCGACATGGTGGGGGGACGCAGGTGATTGTTCCAGTGCGGTGCAGGGCGGTTCAAAGCGATGCAGGGCAGTGCAGTGTACATGTATGCTTAATAGACTCGTTCCTATTGGCTTGCGTGGCGGCGTCCTCCTCTCCACCAGCCCTGCTGATTTGACCTTCAAGTATAGGCTCAAAAGTCAAGATGATGACGCAGCATATGTTTTTTTAGAATTCTCTGAAAACATGCCCTGCCGATTCGACCTTAGAGAGTAAACTCAAAAGTCAAGATGATGACGCAGCATATGTTTTTTTAGAATTCTCTGAAAACATGCCCTGCCGATTCGACCTTAGAGAGTAAACTCAAAAGTCAAGATGATGACCTGCTTACCTCTTAGCATTCCGATCAGAGCTGCTTTACTTCTCACCTGCACGTGCCTCACCAATCTCACCTCTACTCTTGAGGCACCCCAGAAACAAACACTTCCCGACCAGACCTGCCAATTGCATGCCTTATATCCGGTTTCCTTCCCTGTCCGTGCTTTCCGTTTCCTTCCCTGTCCGTGCTTTCCGTTTCCTTCCCTGTCCGTGCTTTCCGTTTCCTTCCCTGTCCGTGCTTTCCGTTTCCTTCCCTGTCCGTGCTTTCCGTTTCCTTCCCTGTCCGTGCTTTCCGTTTCCTTCCCTGTCCGTGCTTTCCGTTTCCTTCCCTGTCCGTGCTTTCCGTTTCCTTCCCTGTCCGTGCTTTCCGTTTCCTTCCCTGTCCGTGCTTTCCGTTTCCTTCCCTGTCCGTGCTTTCCGTTTCCTTCCCTGTCCGTGCTTTCCGTTTCCTTCCCTGTCCGTGCTTTCCGTTTCCTTCCCTGTCCGTGCTTTCCGTTTCCTTCCCTGTCCGTGCTTTCCGTTTCCTTCCCTGTCCGTGCTTTCCGTTTCCTTCCCTGTCCGTGCTTTCCGTTTCCTTCCCTGTCCGTGCTTTCCGTTTCCTTCCCTGTCCGTGCTTTCCGTTTCCTTCCCTGTCCGTGCTTTCCGTTTCCTTCCCTGTCCGTGCTTTCCGTTTCCTTCCCTGTCCGTGCTTTCCGTTTCCTTCCCTGTCCGTGCTTTCCGTTTCCTTCCCTGTCCGTGCTTTCCGTTTCCTTCCCTGTCCGTGCTTTCCGTTTCCTTCCCTGTCCGTGCTTTCCGTTTCCTTCCCTGTCCGTGCTTTCCGTTTCCTTCCCTGTCCGTGCTTTCCGTTTCCTTCCCTGTCCGTGCTTTCCGTTTCCTTCCCTGTCCGTGCTTTCCGTTTCCTTCCCTGTCCGTGCTTTCCGTTTCCTTCCCTGTCCGTGCTTTCCGTTTCCTTCCCTGTCCGTGCTTTCCGTTTCCTTCCCTGTCCGTGCTTTCCGTTTCCTTCCCTGTCCGTGCTTTCCGTTTCCTTCCCTGTCCGTGCTTTCCGTTTCCTTCCCTGTCCGTGCTTTCCGTTTCCTTCCCTGTCCGTGCTTTCCGTTTCCTTCCCTGTCCGTGCTTTCCGTTTCCTTCCCTGTCCGTGCTTTCCGTTTCCTTCCCTGTCCGTGCTTTCCGTTTCCTTCCCTGTCCGTGCTTTCCGTTTCCTTCCCTGTCCGTGCTTTCCGTTTCCTTCCCTGTCCGTGCTTTCCGTTTCCTTCCCTGTCCGTGCTTTCCGTTTCCTTCCCTGTCCGTGCTTTCCGTTTCCTTCCCTGTCCGTGCTTTCCGTTTCCTTCCCTGTCCGTGCTTTCCGTTTCCTTCCCTGTCCGTGCTTTCCGTTTCCTTCCCTGTCCGTGCTTTCCGTTTCCTTCCCTGTCCGTGCTTTCCGTTTCCTTCCCTGTCCGTGCTTTCCGTTTCCTTCCCTGTCCGTGCTTTCCGTTTCCTTCCCTGTCCGTGCTTTCCGTTTCCTTCCCTGTCCGTGCTTTCCGTTTCCTTCCCTGTCCGTGCTTTCCGTTTCCTTCCCTGTCCGTGCTTTCCGTTTCCTTCCCTGTCCGTGCTTTCCGTTTCCTTCCCTGTCCGTGCTTTCCGTTTCCTTCCCTGTCCGTGCTTTCCGTTTCCTTCCCTGTCCGTGCTTTCCGTTTTCTTCCCTGTCCGTGCTTTCCCCTCCCACTTCACCCCTCATCAGGTCTGAGGCAGAAAGCTCGGGCGGAGGAGGGGGAGGGGGAGGCGGGGGCAGCGTGGGGGAGAGGCTACTGGCTGCGCTGCTGACTGAAATGGATGGGCTTCAGTCGCTCACTGCTCCCATCGCAACATTTGATTAGGTGCATCATTTCAAGTGCTTTCCCCACCTGTCCTTGTCCCCAACTCCCACTTCACCCCCACCAGATCAGATGCAGAAAGCTCTGGTGAAGGGGGGGGAGGGGGCAGCGTGGGGGAGAGGCTACTGGCGGCGCTGCTGACTGAAATGGACGGGCTTCAGTCGCTCACTGCTCCCATCGCACCCTCAAGCACTGCGAGCCGCACAGGAAGCAGCACCAGGAACACGGCGCAAGGAGAGTCAAATGACGCATCCGCTTCCTCCTCCTCGTCCTCCTCGGCAGTGCTGGTGATAGCAGCAACCAACCGCTTCCAAGCCTTGGATCCAGCCATCATCCGCCCGGGACGGTTTGACTCGGTGTGTGCCCACCACTTCCCCTTACCCTCCACTACTTCCTCCTCCGCTACTCGGTGCGTGCCACCGTTGGATGAATCAGGGAGGCTACCCGCCCTGCACATCCACACACTAGTTTCTTCCCATATCCAACCTTCCTCGTCCCCCTCCCTCCTCTTCCGTCCTCCCCCACATCAGATCATCTATGTGCCACCGTTGGATGAACCAGGCAGGCTGCACGCTCTGCACATCCACACATCCACCATGCGCCTCGCTGCTGACGTCAGCCTGCCAGCTGTCGCCGCCCGCACGGCGCTGTTCACCGGCGCTGATGTGGCAGCGCTGTGCAGGGAGGCCGCTTTGGCAGCGTTGAGAGGGAAGGTTCTTGGAAATGGGGAGGGAGGGAGTGAAACAACAGCAGGGGATACAGCACATGGGGAAGCAAAAGCAGTAGCAGAAGCACAAGCGCAAGTGCAAGCGCAAGCACAAGCACAAGCACAAGCAGCAGGAGTAGCAGGAGCAGCAGTTGTTGCATCTAATACCACTCCCCCATGCGTTTCCCAGGAGCATTTTGATGCTGCACTGATGGTGGTCCGGCCGTCCTTGACTGAACTGGAGGTTCGAGCATACGAGCGAGATGCATGAGGGATGGGCTGGTGGTCTTGCTCATGTAGTGTAATGTGTGATGTCATATTTGTGCCTTCCAGAGATGTGCTTCGCACATGTACACTTGAAGCCACTGGCGCCGTGATAACTAATCGAGCTGTTGATTGGACACGTCAAAGTCTAGTGCGTTTTCAGTGAGCAAAAGGCTCGTTTCGTATGGCTGAACCGAACAAAATGTGTTGATTTCCCATTCGAATCAGAGCCGTTCCAGCAGAAACCCAAGACACAGTTGTATGGTATCAACTTGTGCCACGTCACATTGCGAGGTGATGATGGTACTGTTGCTGATCATACATACCGGTAACACACACAGCATTTGTGACTTTTGAGAATTCTCAAAACCCTCACAACCATTGCTTGCAGCACCACAGCCTGCGGTGCGGTGCTGACACAGGGACGAGGATCAAGCAAGACTTGTCAGCAGAGGACGTCATCATCACCATCGGCGATGTGACTTTTGAGTCGACTCAAAAGTCAGTAGAGGACGTCATGTAGGTTCTGTTGTTGGACCATCCACCATCACAATCGGTGATCGCAAGTGAGGAAGCGTGCAATCACTTCGTGCTGGTTCTGGCGGTCGCTCAGCCAACGATTCACCCTCACTGCCGTTTCTTGCAGCACCACGGCCCGCGGGTCAAGGTCGAGGAAAGCATGGATGAAGGAGAGGTGCAGCAGAGGCGGGGAGAAGTCCGAGAGTGCATGGATGAGACTCTCTCCCTGCTCCTCCAATACCACCTATGTGTGAAGAACAAGGGGTGCAGGCATTTGAGTAGGAAGGACAGGGGGAAAAGGTTGAAGGACAACGCACCAAACTGACACGTTGCAGACATGAGTGCACCAAACCTTGTGGTGCAAGGCGCAGAGACAGGGTGCAAGGCGCAGAGACAGGGTGCAAGGCGCAGAGACAGGGTGCAAGGCGCAGAGACAGGGTGCAAGGCGCAGAGACAGGGTGCAGGCACCACAAGGTTCACAAGCAAACAGCACCAGGCCTCACCGGACTGCCGTCTCGTGCCCGTAGCTCCCTCCCATCCACCACAATGCACCCAGCTGCATCCAGCAGCACCGCATTGGGACGCACGCACACGTGGCAGTTGTGCCAGCGCACAGGGGACCCCTGACACGTCACCACCCTCACATTGAACTCAACCGCTGCTTCCATCGCCAGCAATTCCGCCTCCACCTCCTCCTCCTCCACCCGCCCTGCTCCACCGCTCACCACCCCTCCCAACCCACGCACGTGCAACCCCCCTGATCCAACCCCTTCCATCCCTTCCACTCCTTCCAATCCCGATGGATAACGCCTCAAATCTGCTCCAAACCTCACTGACCCTGACTCTAGTCCCCCCATCCCATCCCCGACCATCTCCCCATCCATCTCACCACCCATAGCACCCACCAGCCCACTATCCAGCCCCACCATACCAAAACCATCCACATAGGCCGGTACCCCTGGGTACCCATCTGCACCCCTGAGATTCAACGGGGAGCCTGAGCCCTCGCCGTGGGAGAGGGGGAGGTTGAACTGGGGAAGGTTTACATGGTGAAGGTTGTATCTGGGCCCTTCTGAAGCAGGTGTGATTCGAGGGGGAGTTCTACTGGGTCCGGCTCGTCTGCTGCTGCTTCTGCTGCTCCTGCTATTACTGCTGTGGCTGCTGTTGCCGATGCTGTGGCTGCTGTGACTGCCTATACTGCCTGTCCTTCTCATACGCCCACCATTGGGCGAATCAAAAGATATCTGCTCCCCTCGGATTTGATTCGGGAGAATCTGGCCAGGTAACCACACACCAGTACTGCTGCTGTTACTATTAGCAGCATTCTCAGCACTGTAGTCCCCTTCGTTATAGTCATCTCCGCCAGGAGGAACATCAATAGTGATGCCAGACAGAGTACTCTCCCCATCCTCCAGATTCTCTGTCAGCTCCTCCAGCCGGTGCCGGTCCTCCCTCCCGTGCCTCCTGTACACACCGAGCAGCCTTGGCGCCGAGCCTCTCCTGTTGCCGGGCCTAGGAGCACCCCTCTGTTCCCTTTGATCCCTCTGATCCCTCCCTCCCGCGGTTACCTGTTGTAACCCTATGCTTCTTTCTGGTCTCAGAGCCTCTACCTGTGCTCTTTGTCCCAGTATCCCTGTTGCTGCTGCTGCTGCAACTGCTTCTCTTCCCACTGCTGCTTCTCCCTCCAAACCAAGTCTCCCTCTGTTCCTACTGCTGACGTTGCTGTTGCTGTTGCTATTGCCATTGCCATTATATGTGCAAAGGTCTTGAACACTAAGTGCCTCTGCTTCTGCATTCCCCTGTGCTTGCCTCAGTGCTTCATTTGCATTTCGCTCTTGCTGCTCCTGCTCCTCCTCCTGCTGCTGCTCTTGCTCCTGCTGTAGCTGGTGCTGCTGCAGCAGCTGAAGCTGCTCTTGAAGTTCTTCCTGCAATCGCTCCTCTGCTTCCTCCTCCTCCTCCTGCTGCTGCTGCAGGTGCAGCAACAGGTGCTGCCCCGCTTGCAAGTGCTGTTGTGCATCCTCCTCCTCCTGTTGCTGTTGCTGCTCCTGCTGTAGCAACAGTAACTGTTGTCCCTCCTGTAACTGCTGCTGCAACAACTGTTCCTCCTCTAATTGCTGTTGTAACTGTAACTCCTCCTCAAGTTGTAACTGCTCATGAAACCGCACCTCTTGCTGCATCCCCTCTTCAAACTGCACATGTAACGCCTCCATTTCTCTCTGCTCCAGCTGCTGCTGTAACTGTAACTCGTCCTGCAGTTGTAACTGTAACTCGTCTGGAAGTTGTAACTCTTCATCACATAATAACCCTTGCTCCGCTTCCTCTTCATAACCACCCTGTAATTGCCCTGCCTCCTGTAACTGCTCTTGCTGCTCTGGCTGTAACTCCGTCCCCATCTGAATCTGTTCATGCAGTTGTAACTGCTCCTGTAACCCGAGTTGTAACTGCTCATGCAACTGCAGCTGCTCCTGCACCTGTAACTGTTCCTGCACTTGTAATTGTTCATGCAGCTGACGCTGCTCCTGTAACCGTAACAGACCCTGCACCTGTAACTCCTCCTCCTCTAACTGACTCTGCAGCTCCTCTTGCAAGTGCATTTGCTGCTCAAGCTGCAGCAGCTGCTGCTCCTGCTCCTCCTCCCCCTCCTCCTCCTCCTCCTCCTCCTCCTCCTCCTCCTCCTCCTCCTCCTCCTCCTCCTCCTCCTCCTCCTCCTCCTCCTCCTCCTCCTCCTCCTCCTCCTCCTCCTCCTCCTCCTCCTCCTGCTGCTGCTGCTGCCTCCCCTCTCCCTCCTCCTGCTCCCCCTGCCCCGCCTGCTCCTCCTGCAATTCCACAAGTTGACTTTCTTCCACCGAGCCTTGGTACCCATATTCTGCTTCCATTCTCCCAAGCCTCCTCTCATAAATCGCCCTCCTTTCCCTCCTCCCAACATTGCAGCTGCTACTGCCAACATTACTGCTAACACTCCTTCTCCTGTCACTTAAACTACTGGTACTGTCACTCCCAGCAACGACACCATTGTTATAACCGCCCTCTCCCATTCCCACCGCATTTAACCTCTCTTCCAACCTCTGCTCCAACCTCTGCTCCAATCTCTCCCTCACGCACCTCTGTCTACCCTCATCCTCCCCATGCCCTCTCTCCCCATCTTCACTTTTCGCTCTCCTGAACCCCCTCCCTCTCTGCATTACCCTATCCTCCCCCCTCTCCCTCCTCTCCACATCACCCCGTCGCCCTCCCCTTGTGTTCCCACTCATCCCATCCCTCTGAGTTCTGCTCAGTTGCAACCTCCCCCTCGCTGCCCACCCAGATGTACCTCCCCCAGAAGATGCTCCCGCTGGCAGCAGGTCCACCTGCAGGTCGTCATCCAACCCCCCTGCCTCTTCCTCTCTGCCTTCGCGAAACCGTGAATTCGCCTGTTGCTGCTGCTGTGCTTCCTGCTGCTGCCCCTGCTGCACCTCCTGCTGCATCTGCCCCTCCTGCTGTCGCCCCCCCTGCTCTCCCATTTCCTCCTTCTCCTCCTCCTCCTCCTCCTCGTCCTCCTCCTCCTCCTCCTCCTCCTCCTCCTCCTCCTCCTCCTCCTCCTCCTCCTCCTCCTCCTCCTCCTCCTCCTCCTCCTCCTCCTGGTGTTGTTGTTGCTGCTGCTGCTGCTGTGGCTGCTGTTGTTGTTGCTGTTGCTGCTGCTGCTGCTGCTGCTGCTGCTTCAGCCGCATCAGTCTGTTTCTCTCAAGAATTCTTTCTACCTGCCACGGATACTGCCCTCTCTGCCTCAATCCGCCACTGCAGCCACCACCACCGCTGCCACCACCGCTGCCACCACCGCTGCCTCTGGTGCCGTCGCCGTTGCTACTGCTGCCGCCACTGCCACTGCTGCTACCAGCATTGCTACTGCAGCCTTCCCCGCCAGTACCCTTGCTGCCAGCGGTAGCACCACCATCAACCACGCCGCTCCCCTCTGCATGCACGCCCCTGCTACTACTCTCTCTCGCAGCATTTCCTGCTGCAGCAGTCACCCTTCCTTGAGAGAACCCAGCAGCACGGGTGCTTGAGCCAAGGCCCGGAATAGCACCACTGGGGGTGTCTGTGTCAGTGCTGTTGATCCTAGCGGCTGCTGCACTGGCAGCAGCATTGGTTCTGCTGCTGCTTGTGATGTCCGCGCTACGAGTGGCTGCTGCTGCACTGGTAGCAGCACTGGCCCTACTGCTGCTGCTGTCTGCAATGCTGATCCTGGCTTGCGCTGCTGCACTGGCACTGGCAGCACCGTGAGTGGCAGTTGAACCAGAGCTGTTGCGAGGGGGAGAGGGCGGTTGGTCTAGCGGAGAAGAGAGGGAGGAGAAACGGCCAGAGAAGCGGAACGGACGGGACAAAGGGGCGACGGCAGAAGTGGGAAGAGAAGAGCGGGCACTGGAAGAGGAGGGGAGGGAGGAAGAGGGAGGAGAGAGCGTAGTGGAGGTGGTGGTAGCAGTGGGAGCAGTGGGAGCAGTGGGAGCAGTGGTTTCACTGACGGGGATGGGTAACGAAGCAGCAGGGATAGGTGACGAGGTAGCGGTAATAGGAGTAGAGGCTGATGCAGCAGGAGGGAGAGGAGGAGGAGCAGCAACAGAAGCTGGAGCAGCACTGTGTGTGTGAAGAGTGCGAGAGAGTGGGGGGAGAGGCAGAGAGAGTAGGGAGGAGGAGGAGGAGGAGGAGGAGGAGGAGGAGGAGGAGGAGGAGGAGGAGGAGGAGGAGGAGGAGGAGGAGGAGAGGGTGGAGTGCGCAAGGAGGGGAACAGGACCAGACATGGAAGGACGAGTGTTGGAGGCAGGGGGACGGGTGGTGGTGGAAGGATTCAGCGAAGCAGAGAGGGGCCCAGAAGCGGACAGATGGAGAGATGCAGAGAGAGGGTTAGCTGTAGAGGAAAGTGGGTTGGTTGGGTGGTAGCGATGGGGGTGGAGAGACGGGAGGGAAGAGAGAGAGGGCAGGGACGGACGGGTGGGGACTGAAGAACGGATGAGGCGAGATGGCAGGGGGGTGTAAGAATCGTCTGCTGCTGCAGCGGCGACTGCAAGGGCCAAAGTGCGGCGGAGAGCTGGGGAGGAGGAAGAGGAGGAGAGGGAGGAGGAAGAGGAGGGGATAGGGATTGTGGGATCGGAGGAGGTGGAGAGGGAGAGGGAGGGGAGGGAGATGGGAGGAGGAGGAGTCGAGGAGGAGAGGGGCGGGGAGAGCGAGTAGCGAAGGTTGTCTCCTAGCGCTCGCTGCCTGTGGGATGGAACAGCGAGGGCAGCAAGGGAGGGAGATGTTAAGGGGTTTAGGGGGGAAGCATGGGGTGGAGGGGGGTAAGGGGGGTGGGGGGGGGGGGGGGGGGAAGGGGGGGTTGGTTTCGATAAGAGGATATTGGAGGTCTGGTGATGGCTCTGATTGTGATTTGTCACTGTTACATGCAGAGGCAACTCACCGCCTGTCGGATATCCTCTGTACAAGCTGCTGCGCTAAGCGCACGTGTGAATGCACCTCCGCGTGGGCTGCTCTGACCAGCGCAATGCGCTCCTCTGCTGCAGCCATCTGATACAGAGGAAAGGTTGGGAGGGGTGGGGTTGGGTAAAACGTGGAGAGGTGCGTGGCAAGGAAATCGAGCTTCTGAAAATAACACAGCAAACTCCTGTGTTGCTGAGAACTCAAAAACATCATCCACAACAGGAGCAGCAGCAGCAGCAGCAGCAGCAGCAGCAGCAGCAACACCAGCGCAGCCGCCTTTGCCACAGCAGCACATGTGAAAGCTGCAGCTCACCAGTTGCAGCGCCACAGCCCTCTGCTCCGCAATGTGGTTCCTTGCTCGCTGCAAATCCCGCCTCTGGTGCCCCCACACACCCCCCTGTGCCAACCCCCCTCCCCCTCCCCCTTCCCCGCCTCCCCCTTCCCGCCCCCTCCCCCCTCCCCCTGCCAGCCCGCCCACATCTTCCCCCAACCCAAACAATCCCCCCCTTCTCTCCCCCAACCTGGGACTACCCGCTCGCGGAAACCCCATTGTTTCGGGCAGGGAAAAGATCGACGTGGGGCGTTCCTGGAGCGGGAAGCGGCAGAGCGGGCAGCACAAATTCCCGTGGCGAACGTTTTCGCGAATGCAGTCGAAATGGCACAAGTGGCCGCACTCTGGGGCATATAACGCCCTGCCTCTAACCATGGCTTCTAAACAGATGGGGCAGTCTTCTGTTTGCCAGGGCAGCAGAGCCTTGCCTTCGTTGCACGGAGCAGGCTTGGGAGAGGCTTGGTCGGAGGCTCGGGAGTTGGGCTCGGAGGAGGTTCGGGGGAAGGTCTGGGAGGGTTGGGTGGAGGTTTGGGAGGAGGAATTTGGGTGCTGCAGGGTAGGCTGTTGCAAGGAGGGTTCTTGTGAGGAAGGCTGTTGTGAGGAAGGTTGTTGGGACAACGGTTGGGGGGTTGGCTGGATTGAAACACGAGGCGACCTTGGGGAATGCGAGGGCGTTAGGGTTGCTCGGGCTTGCAAAGATGTTCGGGTTGCATCATAGGCAGGCTCGGCGAATGGTCCTGGTATTGCTGGCAGTGGAGCCGAGGCTGACGAGGGAGCAGCGGCAGCAGAGACAGCAGAGGCAGCAGAAGAAGCAGTGGCAGCAGCTGAAGCAGCACCAGTGGCAACTGTGTGAAGCATAGTCGCTGTAGCGGCGGTAACAGATGCAGCGATTCCGGTATGCGTGGCCGAGCATGCAATAGCAACGGCCCTAGCAGCAGTGCTTTCAGCGGCGGCAGCACATGAGGATGTAGCGGTGACTGCAGCAGCAGGGTTGACAGCAACCGCACTTGCAGCTGTTGCAGCCGTTGCAGCAGTTGCACCTGTGATGCTGGCGACAGTGGCGGTAGTTGTGGCAACAGTGGTGCTGGCAGCGGTGGCAGCGGCGTTACTGACAGGACCCTGCTGAGCGGATCGTCTCCACTCTGCAATCACTGCTGCTGCTGATGTTGCATCCTCAGACGAATCAACAGCTGTTGCTGCTCCTGCTGGCAGTGGTGATGCCGATGATTCTCCTGCTGATGCTCCCCCTCCTGTTCCTGCGGCTGCTGCTCCTGCTGCTTCTGATACTGCTAATGCTGCTGCTTCAGTGCTCGTATTGCTTATGCCGAAAGAACGTGAAGATAGTGATAATGAGACCCTTCCTCGCGTGCCTGTAACGGGGATGACGCCGAAGACGCTGCTGCTGCCTGGAAGCTTCCCGACGTGCGTTCCTAGGAGCCGCGTCGCGACGTCCTTAGTTAATCCGGGACCGACACGCAGTTGCACGCCGTCCTGTGCGACGCTAACGACCTCGGCGTATCGCCATTCGTCCGTGCTGCGACGGACGACGACCAGCTCGCCCGCGCCGTACGCCTCCGGATTCAGCCACTTCACGCGGCTGCGAACGTCGGCCTCCGTCGCAAGGTCGCCGATTCGTCGCGAACGCGGCTGTTGCGACGGTTGTAGCGACGGTCGTGGCGACGCCTGCGACGAGTCTCCTGCTAGCGACGGGGAGCTCGAGGAGCCACTGTGCGACGCCATGCGAAACTCGCGTAAGATAAGCGGTTGCGCAGGCCTTATATCGCGTATAACGTACAGTACGCCACTACGTCTGAACTGGCTTGAACCCTACATTTCATGGCAGACATAAGCTCGTCCTAAGCTTTACGCTCTACGTCACTAGGTCACGTAAGCAGGCCTTACGGGACTGCTGTTCATTCACTCGGTTCTTTCCTAGGTTCGTCCCATAGATTAATCCTGTCGTGGGACAAAGGCGCGAGCAGTAAGCTATGACGACCCGTTTGCCAGTTTCTGAGCCTCCTGGAACGTAGCACCGCGACCCGCCAAGGCGGATCTTGCGCCTAAACAGTTCGGCACGCGTTGCCACATCAGATTGGCTTGGGTGGGCCCTAGAGGTTGTCCTGTTCATTAGTGATTCTCCGAAGGAAACCATTCACTTGAGAAATCCTTTTATTCTTAGCTTCACCTCAAAAGTCATCTTGGAGTTTGACGAGGAATCAATTCCGATATATAAAGCTCACATTATTGTACTTCGTTGAAGTGTTTTCTACAGTTAATCCCCATGGTACTTCAGGGTAAGTTGCCCTTCAGAACTCCGTCCCTCCCTCCGTTCTCTTGTGTCATATCTCCTGATCAGCCATTGTCCCCTCCCCAGCCACCTGCGCGATGAGATAAATAACAGGTGACGGCGAGCGACGATCATATTTGAAACCAAGCCGCTGCGTATTGGATATTTAGCTACTCGGTAGATATTATCCCAAACGGGATTAGTTTTAACCAACGCTGATCATCCAGCGACTGCCGTAAACCATGTCTGACTGTCACTGACCATCAGCCTGTAAGTTACCATAACAAACAGCCCAGTCATCAGCCTGTGAATCAGCCTGACATGGGTCGCACGGAGGTTCACGGCAGATGGGTGTACGAGGTCGAGAGGGACCCTTCAGGCTCCTGTCAGTGGCATACCGTCTCACCTCTCCCTCCCGCTTCCGCCGCGTCTACCGCCGCGTCTATCGCGGCGTCACGAACGAATAACGATACGCAGCACAACGACCTTGCAAGTCTCAGTGGAGATAATGACGGCGGCAACAGGAGTAGTAGTAGCAGCAGCAGCAACAGCAGCAGGCGAAGCGGAAGCAGATGGTCACTCGATATCTTATCGAAGCCAGTGGTAGCTGTTATCATTGTCGGTCTCGCCGTCACCTTATCATCCTCGGTAAGCAACTCTTCCCTTCCAGCAACAATCGTCGTGATTCGTCAACCCTTTTTATTACGCACTCGAGCCTCATGCATCATCAGCAACCTGAAAATCATGTATTTATGTACAAGCGCTACGAGAAGCACTACTAGCCATTCCTTGCCTTCCCTCAACCCTCCCGCGTCCTCGTATCTCCTGCTCCCCCCTTTACCCTACCCTCTCCGCCTTATTTTGTCGGGTATCTCAGCAACCGTCCATGGCAGTGCGAACAGCCCTGGGAGTTCTAACAGCAGCTCTCGTGCTCAGACTCGTTGCGCGCCGTCTCTTTTCGCTGGGCGTCACGCATCAAGGTGAAGCCGCTTTGCTATCCCAGTCATTACATTTCGCTTTGCATGGTGGTTGTTTTTTTTGCCACATCGGAAATCGTTGACACCTTTCGCTTGGGGTAAAGCATCAAGGTGAAGGAGCTACCCTCCGAGTCATTACAGATCGCCACACATTTGTTTAGAAGGCCGCGACACCACTGTCCCTGTCACTGCTCAATCACCACGGCTCCCTGCTATTTCCTCTGCTCTCTTCCTTTTTTACGAGCCCAGCTGTTGGCTATTTCGAAGCAACACACCAGTGGCTTCTTACCTCACATCAGTGGCTTCTTACCTCACACACACCAGTGGCAATAGTAGATGAGATGAGGTTGTAACACGTCATCTCATCTCATCTCCTCTCCTCACACCTCATCTCCATTTGCCAACTTCCGCCCTTTTTTTTATCTAAATCCTCATCCTCCCACCCACCTGCTCCCCCTTCCCCATCCTCTTCCATCCCCTCTGTGCATGCATGCACCAGTGACGGTGATGATTGTGGAAGGCCTGGGCTGGGAGTGCAGATATAGGTGGCACAGCTAACCACCACCCAGCACAAACCACTCATAACCTTGTCCCCCCACTCCTACCACCCCTCCCACCCCCCCCCACTTCATTTTCTGTGCATGCGTGCACCAGTGACGGTGATGATCGTGGAAGGCCTGGGAGTGCAGATCGAGGTAGCACAGCTAACCGCCACCCAGCAAAAAACTTTTAAAGCACCCAACTCGTCCAGTCACAGCATCAGCAGCGGCAGCAGCAGTGGAACAGCGGATTGTCAACCACGCGTGGTGCATCGGCAGCTGGTGCCACTAGACACCATAGCTGCGGCAGTCATAACTGAGATCGTCACTCCCACCAGCTGCCACTTCGCCCTCGTGCTGCTGCTTGCTGACTCTGACCAGCCTCTGCCTGTCTTCCGGGTAAGAGGAAATATATGTGTAGTACACTAGATAGTCAACCACGGGTGGTACCGGTGCCGCTAAACACCATAGCAGCGGAGATCGTCACTCCCACCAGCTGCCACTTCGCCCTCGTGCTGCTCCTTGCTGACTCTGACCAGCTTCTGCCTGTCTTCCGGGTGAGTCCAGGGTTCTATGCGTGATTTGATTTCGAAAGGTTTGAATTGTTAGACGTCTCAAAGAATAGGCTCTGACCAGCCTCTGCCTGTGTTCTGGGTAAGAATTCCATCCATGTGTTGGACCCTGGATGGTGCCCTAGATACCATAGCTGCGACGTTCATCACTGAGATCGTCACTCCCACCAGCTGCCACTTCGCCCTCGTGCTGCTCCTTGCTGACTCCGACCAACCTCTGCCTGTATTCCGGGTGAGAATCTCATTCGTGTTTTGATCTCCAAAGTTTCGAGTTTTAAGGCGCCTCAACAAGTTTTCTCTGACCAGCCCCTGCTTGTATATTAGGTAGGGGATCCCTTACTGATACATCAATGTAATGAACACTGGATGGTGGTGAAGTGGCATGTGCCATTGTAAAGGAGTGACTAGAGTTTACTTAACAATTACCAGCCGTTGCCTGTGTTTCGTGTAAGGAATGTATCACTGCCATTCTTCATGTTCACCTTCTCTCCCTGTTGCTCTCCCTGCTCTCTTTCCGCCCCCTGCTCCTCATTTGCCTCTGTCTGTCTGCCCCATTTCCTCCCGTTCTCTCCTTCAGCATCTCAAGCCCCCCCTGCCAGTGCTAATAGGAATACGAAGAGCCATTGAGAGCTGCCTAACGTCATGATTCTTTTGATGTGAAAACACTTACATAAAATTATCCATGCCTAGGAAGTTCCAGTCCAATTTGTGGGAAACAGCCACGGAAGAGCCAGGCCAGTTGGTATCCTGTTGCTACACTTGTCAGTGCTGCATTATACACGTCATTTAATCATTCCTTATGACGCAAACAATCCCTGTACACAAAGCTGCCATATCGGAAGTTTTTTGAAGCTATAGGCTTCTTGAACGCCTTTTGGTTAGGCGTGCCTCTCTACAATCAAATTCTGCGCATTTCAATTCTAGAGTGTACGGTGTTCCGATTTCCGAACTAGATTTGCCCAAGCTACTTACAAAAGCACTGAAATGGCAAGGGTCACTGGAACACCAGCGCAGAGCAAGGCAATGGCTTGTCTTGCTTCTTGTTTTGAGTCAACTGATTCTACATTGCTGCAGTGCAGTGCGCACAAGCTACGGTATGTGGAATGATAACACTGGAAGGCTAAATCGTCACTGGAGCGAGTCCAGAGCACAAGGCCACGGCTTGCCTGCCATAACAGCTTCAACCTCGGCCACATCACGAGGGCACTTGGTAAGGTTCTCGATGCCCTCTGTTGTTACCACCTGAGGTGAGCACGTGGGAAAGGAAGGCAGACAAGTGAGGATGGGAGAGGCAGGCTGCTTGGCTGCTTGATTGTTTAGTTTGAGTCTCCCATTGTAAAATTATATTTATTTATTGCAAGTGCTAGACTTCCTTTTTTTGAGTGACTGTATACAAACATGAGACAGAATAGATTCACACTATATCGAGAAACTGTGTTTCTGTTGGTGATTACACCTGAGAACGCGCTCAGGCAAAATCTGAGTATCGGAGATAATGGCCGAACCCCGATGGCACCTCTCAACGGACCCTCCGTACGAGGTCGACACGTCGACGACGCCGGTCGCGGCCACCGTGCCACGACGTCCAGCTTGCCATCGGCGCGGACTGCGACGTGAGGCCCACCACGATTCTGGTAACCCCTTTACATTTGGTAGCACTTTTTTCGGTCGACTCGAATGAACAGTGCACATTTTTGTCATATTCCCAACGTCTGAAGCACTAGAGGGTTTCTGCCTCCCGCCCCTGTTCTCCCATCCTCCCTGCAATCCCGCCTGGGCCAACCCTCCCAAGACTCCGTACCTCCCCCATCCAGACCACCAATGGCAGACTCACCTTTCTCCGGACCTGTCGGTTCGTTGTTTTCCAAACCTGCTGCCTCGGCCGAGCCTGGAAAGCAGAAGCTGTCGGGCGAGCAGGGCAGAGGCATGGGATATGGAAACCGAATGGAGGGGCAGGAAGGGAGGGAGGAAGGGGCGCGTGTCGGTGAGAGAGAGGGGGTTAACGAGGAGATGGAGGAAAGGTCTGGGAAGGAGGAAGAAGGTGGACGGAGTGGCGACGAGAGAATGAGGGAGACGGAGAGGATGAGGGAGAGGATGGAGGGAGGGCAGCAGTCTTCCAAGGGTGCTGCATCGAGCGACTTTGCGTCTCTTGAACAGGTGGGGCTGGGACCTGACTTTTGAGTCGACTCAAAAGTCACTCTGCATCGAGCGACTTTGCATCTCTTGAACAGGTGGGGCTGGGTGGAATGGGGAAGGGGGACTAAATTAGAGCATTGCTTTTCTTGTTGCTGCCCCACGTCACTTGGGCATCTCTTCTCTTGCTGCTGCTCGTTTGGGTTGTTTTCCTTCTGTGCAACTTCGCCTCCCATCCATGTCCCTTTGTGCAGAACATAGAGGATCTTACAGAAGAGAAATTCACTCTGCAGAGATTTTTTTAGAAATCTAAAAAAATCCCTGCAACATAGAGGCGTGTAGTGAGTCGATTTTTTAGTCGACTCAAAAATCCCTGCAACATAGAGGAGCTTACAGAAGAGAAATTCACGCTGCATTGGAATCTTCACGTATTGCCCTCCTCTCCTTCCCTCACTCCTTCTCCCCCCTCCACTTCCTCCCTCCCTCATCACTTTCGGCAGTACATAGAGGAGCTCACAGAGGCGAAGTTCACACTGCAGCGGCAGTTAGATGCAGCTCGCATGGTGGCCGAGTCCCTGGCCAAGGAGAACTCCGCTCTTACAGACGATTTCAACCGACAGGTGAGTTGATGAAAGGGTGAGGAGTTGGCAGGAAAGGGCTTGGCAAATGGGGTGCAGCAGCTGGATGCGGCTTGAATGGTGGCTGAGTCCCTGCCCAAAGAGAGCTCTGCGCTCACTGACGACTTTAGCCACCAGGTGAGGCCGTGAGGGGGGATGGGAGCAGGTGGTAAAGGGCTTGGCAGGAGGGTGGCAGCTGGATGCGGCACAAATGGTGGCGGAGTCTCTGGCCAAAGAGAGCTCCGTTCTCACAGATAATTTGAACCGGCAGGTGACGTGATGAAAAGGGAGAGTGAAGGACAGGAAAGGGCTTGGCCAATGGGGTGCAGCAACTGTATGCGGCTTGAAAGGTGGCTGAGTCCCTGCCCAAAGAGAGCTCTGCCCTCACTGACGACTGAATCCACAGGTGAGGCGATGAGAGGGGGAGGGGGGGAAGTAAGGTGAGGGGTGAGTGAGGAAGAGGGGGTGGTGGAGAAAAAGGGGAGGTGGCTTGTGCTGGTGGCTGGAAAATTGGCGCCTAAGGGCTTGAATGAAGAAGGCTTATTTGTTTGATGTGTGTTTTATGACAAATCATGTACTTGTTGAACTTGAAACTCTGCTCTCCCTTCCCGTTCTTTTCTGTCCCCCGCTCTCTGCCGTTTCTTTCTCAGGCGAAGGGCTTGGAGCAGATGAGGGAGGAGATTTCGAAACTCAAGGCGGAGGTGAAAGCGCAGAAGGTGAGAGACACACAGGGTGATGTGATGTGGGTGTGTGGGAGGGAAAGGTGGGTGTGCAGGGGAGTTGGGGCGGGTGTGGATGGAAGGGTGAATTTGGGAGGGGGTAGAGGGCACTGGAGGTTGTGGGGGAGAAGGTGGCAACATCTGAGTGAAACATCTTGAAAGGGACATTTATATTCTTGTGCTGCTTATTTGAGTGAAACATCTTGTCTTATTTGGCTTTTGTTCCCCCAACCCCGTCCTGCGTCCCCCCCAAATCTCCCACCTCCTCTCTCTTCCAACCCCTACCCCCTTCAGATGGTGATGGAGTCACAGGCAGTGTCCAAGGAAGCGGCACACCACGAGTCTCTGGCTGCCATCGAGCGATCGCAGGCGCTGGCAGCAGAGGTGGTGGCGCTGGAGGGGCGGGTGCTGCGGCTGTTGACCCTGCGCTCAAACCTCCTTTCATTCCACAACCCCCTCCCTTCCCCGTCATCCTCTCCTCTCCTCCCCCCAAACCCTCGCCTGCAGGTGGTGATGGAGTCACAAGCAGTGAGCAAGGAAGCAGCCCACCACAAGTCGCTGGCAGCCATCGAGCGATCGCGGGCGCCACTGTCGCCAGAAGTGGTCCCAACCCCCGTCCACATACCCCCAACGCCATTCCTCCTCAGGTGGCGATGGAGTCGCAGGCAGTGAGCAAGGAAGCAGCACACCACGAGTCACTGGCAGCCATCGAGCGATCGCAGGCATTGCTTTGTCTCTCCTGCCCCCCCTCTACGCCCCTCCCCATCAGGTGGTGATGGAGTCACAAGCAGTGAGCAAGGAAGCAGCCCACCACGAGTCGCTGGCAGCCATCGAGCGATCGCAGGCGCTGGCAGCAGAGGTGGTGGCGCTGGAGGAGCCGGTGCTGCGACTAATGATTTCTCATGTATATTTTTGCCCTTTCCCATCCGTCCCCCCTCTCCCCCCAACCCCATCTGTCCCTCTCCGCCCCCATTCCTCCTCAGGTGGTGATGGAGTCGCAGGCAGTGAGCAAGGAGCGGCCCACTACGAGTCACTGGCAGCCATCTAGCGATCGCAGGCGCTGGCAGCAGAGGTGGTGGGCGCTGTCGCCAATTGTGGTTGCTCTACCCCCCCACACCCTTCCTCCCCCGCACCTCTTCCCTTCAGGTGGTGATGGAGTCACAGGCAGTCTCAAAAGAGGCAGCCCACCATGAGTCACTGGCAGCCATTGAGCGATCGCAGGCGCTGGCAGCAGAGGTGGTGGCGCTGGAGGAGCGGGTGCTGCGGCTGAGGTCGAATGAGCTGAAACTGGAGAGACAGGCAGAGTGGTTTCAAGCAGAGGCCGAGGCACAGCGGTGAGTGACTGTGTGATTGGTTGTCATGTTCACACGCTCAGTCTCAGCTGAACAGCAGAGGTGGTGGCGCTGGAGGAGCGGGTGCTGCGGCTGAGGTCGAATGAGCTGAAGCTGGAGCGACAGGCGGAGGGGTTTCAGGCAGAGGCCGAGGCACAGCGGTGAGTGACTGTATGATTGGTTGTCATGTTCACACGCTCAGTCTCAGTTGAACCGCAGAGGTGGTGGCGCTGGAGGAGCGGGTGCTGCGGCTGAGGTCGAACGAGCTCAAGCTGGAGCGACAGACAGAGGGGTTTCAGGCAGAGGCGGAGGTACAGCGGTGAGTGGTGTGAGTGGATGTCATGTTATTCTTGATTTGTTGTGGCAGAGGTGTTGGCGCTGGAGGAGAAGGTGCTTTGGTTGTCGTGCACTGAACTCAAGCTGGAGAGACGGGCAGAGGGATTACATGCGGAGGCGGAGGCACATGCGATTGACACGTCGTTTGCTTGCCATTCCAACCCCATGCCATTCACATGCCATTCACATGCCATTCACATGCCATTCACCTGCCATTCACCTGCCATTCACCTGCCATTCACATGCCATTCACCTGCCATTTCCTTGCCATGCCACCCCCACGACACAGGCGTGCTGCATCAACCTTTGAGGCAGAGAGGAAGGAGCTCCGTGCCGCTGTGGATAAGCTAAATGAAGGTGAATGGGTTGTGGTGTGGAGTGGTGCGGTGTGGTGTGGTGTGGTGTTGTGTGGCGTGGCATGGCGTGGTGTGGTGTGGTGTGGTGTGGTGTGATGTGTTTCTTGCCACGTGTTGAATATCTATAAATTAATGCCACATCACACCAAATGACATGTCATCACATCCTCCAATCCTCCACGTCACAGAGAAGCACCAGCTCAAGGTGCAGCTGAGGATGGTGACAGTGGGCTGATCCTGGTCAGGACTCAGACCTGCAGAACGTTTCCCATAACCATGGGCACATCTCATTATATGGTAATCCCCCCTCCCTCCCCCCTCTCCAATCCTCCACGTATCTCCTCAGAGAAACGCCAGCTCAAGGTGCAGTTGAGGAGGGCGACAGTGGGTGGCACACTCGGCGACATGTGGCGGGGCGACAGCACGTCCACGTCAGCAACGCCAGCTGTACCGTCCGTGAGCCAAGCAACTTCAACTGATGAGCTGGAGGCGGCCTTCCCGAGCCAAGCAGGACCGTCTGCCGAGGCAGGAGTGTCAGGCTCGGCATCTTTTGCTGCCGAGTCAGCCGCAGCTGGCTCGAGCACCGAACCAGTCTCTGGAAGCTCAGCAGGGGTAACAAGGGAAGATGGAGGCTCGGCCGGACCTTCAGTGGAGGGTGGGGAGGCAGGAGAACAAGCGAGGAGGAGAGATGAAGAGGGAGAGACACTAGGTGAAGCTGGAAGGAGAGCAGTGGCAGAGGTTCGGGCACTGTTCACGCGAATGGAAAGTGACGGGCGGCATAACTTGGAGGAAGTGTGTGAGCAGCTGGTGAAGATGATTACTGCTGCTGTTGGGGCGGCAGAGGAAGGTGCTGCTGCTGCAGGTGGTGGTGGGAGGAGGGGAAGAGGAGGCAGGGATAGGAAGGCAGGCGAAGGGGAAAATCAGGAAGAGGAGGAAGAGGAGGAGGGAGTGGTGGATGATTTTTTGTTGCTGCCCGCTCTGCTGCCCGGATCGGTGGATGTTTTGTCAGAGGAAGAGCAGAGGAGTTTGGAGAGTATTAACGGCCTGCTGGCAGAGGTGAGCGGGCGAGAGGGAGGGTGGGTATGAGAGGGAGAGGAGTGGTGAGGATGAAAAGGAGAGAGGTGGTAGGGATGAGAGGAAGTAAGCCCTTCCCTTGGCAGGACGTTATCGAGTATTTTTTTTCATGCAGCTTGCTGCTTCCATTTTTCCTCACCCACCCCTCGCTCCCTGCATTTTTCTCCACCAATCAGATGCAAGCAGAGAGGGAGCGCATGGCACGCACACTCAAGGAGGAGGCTGCCACGTCAGCAGAGCTGCGGGTGAGTTGCGAGACATCCCATACTATCCCATGCCATGCCATGCCATCCCATTCCGTGCCATGCCATCCCATGCCACATGCCATGTTCCACGTGCCAGGATCTAAGCTTGAGTCAATCGAAACATCTTTCCCTTGTCCTTCCTGCTAGTTGCCAGTGACCCAGTGACAAGCTGTCACACTCTTTACTGTCACACCTTCCACTATCACACCCTCTATTGTCAGAACAAGCAGCAAACGAGGAGTTGTCGCACAAGCTCGCCAGTCAGACTCAGCACATGGAGCTGCTGGTGACTCAAACCTCTCTGCTACCACTCACACCCCCTCACACCCTTTACTGCCACACCCTTTACTGTCACAACAGGCGGCAAATGAGGAGCTATCTCACAAGCTGGCGAGTCAGACACAGCACATGGAGCTGCTGGTGGCTCAAACCGTCATGGCTGCCGCTTCCTCTGCCTCCCGCTCCGCCTCGGGTGCTTTGAACGCCCGCATGCCCCGCGCCTCCTTCTCCTCCTCTTCTGCTGCTGCTGCTGCCGCTTCTGCTGCGATTGCACCTGCCCCTGCCGCTAGTGCTTTCTCTGCACCCATTAATCCTGGAAATCAGTCTTCTGGTGCTGCTGCCAGTGCCGCTGCTGGTGATGGTGCCACCACTGATGCTGCTGTTAAAATATATATTGTGTAGCATGCCAACACATGTGACTGTACACCAATTGTGGTGTACAGTTGGGTTGGGACTACACCCAACTTTGGGTGTAGTCTTGCACTTTGGGGTGCCAATCCACCCAATTGTGGTGGAGCCCCCAAATGCAACCCTCTTGACTTGTGTGTACCTCACTTCCCACAATTGAGGTTACCCCAAGCCAAGTGGGCCTAGGGTTGCCTCACTTCTACAAAGTGTGGGCAACCCAACCCACTTGACCTATGGTTCCCTCACTTCCCCAAGTGAGGTCAACCCAACCTATGGTCACTTTCATCCTTCCCTTCCAACCTTCCCTTCCAACTATGTATGCTAGGTTGTTCCTCTAATCTAATTACTTGTTCAATTCACAATCTTCACATGGTATAGATCTAGTTGTTCCTAAGCCTTTTCTCTCCCTCCCTCAAAGTTTTTTCTTCCCCATGGGCCCACCCCACAGCCACAAACCCCCTACGTGTGGCTCAACCTAGCATCTCCTTGGCACGACCTACGTCGTCGCCGCCCTCCCCTCCCTCCGCCGTGATTGCGCCCTCCTCGCCTGCGGATCCCACCGCCGCGAGTGCATCACCGCCCCCCGTCGCCGCGACACACCGTCGCTGCCCCCCCCCCCCCTTCTCCCCCTTTTTTCCGCCGCCGCGCCTTCTCTGGCGCCGCCTGCACATCCCGCCGCGACGCCTCGTCGCCGCCTCCTCCTCCCCCTGCCGCGACCCCCCGTCGCCGTCTCCCTCCCGCCGCCGCGCCTACTTCGGCGTCGCCCGCGCATCCCTCCGCCGCGACGCCCCGTCGTCGCCTGCCCCTCCCGCTGCCGCGACGTCGCGTCGCCGCCTCCCCCCACCGCCGCCGCGCCTTCCTCGGCGCCGCCTGCGCATCCCGCCGCCGCGACGCCCCGTCGTCGCCTCCTGTCCCGCCGCCGCGACTTCGCGTCGCCGCCTGCACTCCCCATCGCCGCGACCCCCCGTCGCCGCCTACACATCCCGCCGCCGCGACCCGCTCGTCGCCGCCTGCACGATCCGCCGCCGCGACTTCGCGTCGCCGCCTGCACGACCCGCCGCCGCGACTTCGCGTCGCCGCCTGCACGACCCGCCGCCTGCGCATCCCGCCGCCGCGACCTTCTCGTCGCCGCCTGCACCCCTTGCCGCCGCGACCTTCTCGTCGCCGCCTGCACCCCTTGCCGCCGCGACCTAAAGTCGCCGCCCGCGCGACCTCCTGCCGCGACCTGCTCGTCGCCGCCCGCACATCCCGTCGCTGCGACCTAACAATCGCCGCCCCCGCATCCTACCGCCGCGACCTGCTCGTCGCCGCCCGCGCATCCCGCCGCCGCGCCTTCCTCGTCGCCGCCCGCGCATCCCACCGCCGCGCCTTCCCCGTCGCCGCCCGTGCATCCCTCCGCCGCGCCCTCCTCGTCGCCGCTCGCTCATTCCGCCGCCACGATTCCCTCGTCGCCACCCGCGCATCCCGCCGCCGAACGTTCCTCGTAGCAGCCGCCTCAACCCGCAGCAGCAGCGTCAGTGGCAGCAACAGCTTCGCCCACAGCTACACCTGCGTTCTCCCTCCCCCTCCCCCTTTCCTCCTCCTCTCCTCCCACGCAGCAGCAGCCGGGACAGCTCAGCAGCCACAGCAGCAACAGCGGCAGCAGCGGCAGCATCAGGAGCAGCGATAGCAGCGGCAGCAGCTGCATCCACCATCTTCCTCCCCCTCCTCCCCTCCCCCCCCCCCCTCCTCCCTCGCAGCGGCAGCAGCAGCAGCAGCCGGAGAAGAACTCCACTCCCCGCAGCAGCACCCCCCCCCCCCCCCCCCCCCCCCCCCCCCCCCCCCCCCCCTCCTCCCTCTCGGCTGCCGCGGGTCCACCCGCCGTCGCCCTCCCACTTGACCGCCGCGGGTCCACCCGCCGCCGTCCACCTCGAGGCCGCCGCGGGTCCACCCGCCGTCGCCCCTCATGGCTACCACTCCTCCCCCTCTCCCCCCTCCCATTGACGCTTCCTCCGTCGACAAGCTTCAGCTTGCCGCGGACCGCTCGGCGATCAACTGGCATTCCTTCGTCGGGAGCATCCGCCGTGTTCTCCAAGATGCATTCGTCGGACCCTACTGCGTCCTTGACGTCCTCCTCCGCCGCCCGCAAGCCCTCCAGCCCACGGCACCCAATCACCCCGGCGAACCCCCTCCACCCCCCATTCCTCCTGGTCCTCCTCCTCCTGAACCCACCTTGGAGATCGCCACTTCCCCAGCGCTCCAAGATGCCGCCGATGCCGCATTTCTCCACGATCGCCGCGAATACCTCATCCGCAAGGCGGAGCATGAGGTTGCGGTACATAACCACGACTTCGCGGTAGCGGAACGCGCCAATCGCCTGGCGCTCCTTGATGAGTACAATACGGCCATGGCGGACTACCTCCCTCGGAGCATCGCATGGGCCACTGCTGACAACCGCGCCTGCACCATCCTCCTCGGCGCACTCCCTGATACCCTCATGCGCCGTTTCCAAGCTCGCGAGATGCGCGCCTCCCTCATCTGGGCCGAGCTCCAGGCCATGTTCGAGCGTCGCGACATCAGCTCTGTCGGCGCCCTGTTCCAGGAGTACTTCTCCATCACCCTCGCCACTTGTGATGGCGCAGTTGACTACGTGGGGCGCATGCAGGAGATCGCTGATCGCCTTGCGGCACGCCAAGCTGCCCTCCCCGAGCCCCTGCAAATCCACCGCCTCCTCTACAACCTCACCCCGGACTACGAGTCCCGCCTCCATGCCTTCACTGAGGCCAACCCCATGGCCGGCCTCGACGACGTGGTCCAGTGGATCATTGACACGGAGGTCAAGCTCCGCACCCCCGTTGTCAACCTTACCACCCCTCAGTCCTCCTCCTCCACCTCCCTCAACGCTACGCAGCCGCGCAACCAGGGTGGTCGCAGCGGCGGCGGCGGAGGCCGTGGAGCGGGTGGCGGTGGTGGTGGTGGAGGCCGTGGTGGTGGCGGTGGTGGTAGTGGTGGCCGTGGTGGCCGTGGTGGCGGTGGTGGTGGTGCTGGCAACGCCCTTGCTGGAGGTGTTGTGACTCGAGGCGGACGCCCTGGCACTCTCCCCCCATGCACATATGTGCGTCGCCATGGTCCCCATGCAGGTACCCCTTGCGGCCAGACCAACCATCCCCCCACCACGTGCTTTAAGGCACTCGACGACGCCTGGTTTGATCGCGGCAACACTGGCACCCCTCCTCGCTGGAACTCGGTCACACCTCGCCCCTCCTTAGTGGACATTCAAACCCTCCCCTCTTTCCTTCCTGCTCACCTCCGCGTGGTTACCCCCTCCCCACCCTCACAGCTGCAGCAGTTTCAGCAGCACCAGCGGCAGCAGCACCTGTACTTCCACCAGCAGCAGCAGCAGCCGCAGTTTCTCCAGCCCCAGCAGCCGCCGCCGCCGCAGTTCTTCCAGCCACCGCCGCAGCAGCAGCAGCAGTTCCTTCCCCCACCCTGGCAGCAGCAGCCACTCACCTTCGGCACAGCGGCCATGGCCGCTCATACCTCCCTTCCTCCTCCTCCCCCCTGGGGTTCCCTCCCCTCTGCCCCCCCCAGTGTTCCCGACACTTCTGGTAGTTTCCTTGGTAATATCAGTGTTGCACCGTCCGTCGCTGCCATGTATCCCTCTGCTATCAATGAGACTTCGTTTCAGTACCCCGTCCCACCCCCTCCTCCCTCTTCTCCCACCCTGGACTTTGTCCTTGACAGTGGAGCCACTGAAACCGCACTGAAAGACGCTGGCACTCTCACCCCACTACCACTTCCCACTCAGGTTCATGGGGCTGATTCCAGCTTTTCCATTCCATGCACTCACCTCTCCACCCTCCCTTGCACTGCCTTCCCCTCCGGTAAGGTCACAGGTCTCCACATCCCCACTCTCCGCAACAACCTCCTCTCCCACCGTGAGCTCCAAGGTGTTGGTATCACTGCCATTTACCCCGGTTATGCCAATTACTGTGATCTCTACCAAACCTCCTCCGGTCGCTTCCTTCTCCGCATTCCGCTTTGCCCCCGCACTCGCCTCTACACACTCCGCACGCCTCGCCCATCCTTCTGCCACGTCACCACTCGTTCCGGTGCTTCCACCGGTCCACCTCCTCCTCCTTTACTTCCCCCTTCCCCTCCCCCTCAAGTATCTTCTTCTCCCTCCCCACCATCCTCCTCCTCCCCTCCCGTTCCTTCCATCACCCCATCTCCCTCCTCCTCCACTACCCTCTCCCACCCTGCTGTCCTCTTACACCACAGACTCGGCCATCCCAACTTCACCGCCCTTCGCACCACAGTCACCTCTCGCCTCCTCCGCAGCCTTCCTCCTGTTTTACCTCCCCTCCCCTCCTCCCCCTCTCCCCCATGCCCTTCATGCATTCACGGCAAGCTCAAACAGTCCCCCCGCCACAGTCATCCCACCTTCGCCGCCGCCCCCATTGACCTTGTGCACATGGACCTCTGGGGCCCCTATCCCATCCGCTCCCGCCAGGGGCATCGGTACATGCTCGTCCTCGTTGACGACCACAGCCGGTACTCCACCACCTTCTTCCTTCACACGAAAGACCAGGTGCCGGCAGTGGTCATCAACTGGGCCGAACAGTGCCGCAATCACTTCAAACGCCCCATCGGCCGCCTTCACTCTGACGGTGGGGGTGAGTTCATCAATAACACCCTTGCCACATACTGCAACACCTACGGCATCCAACAGACCTCCACCCTTCCCCACTCCCCTCAGCAGAACGGCATTGCTGAGAGCCGCATTCGTGAGATCACCAAGATAGCTCGCTGTCTCATTGCTCATGCCTCCACCCCTCCTTCCCTCTGGAGCTATGCCCTCCTCCACGCCGCTCTTCTCCTTAATCTCCGCTCCCACCCTCAGCATCCTTCCTCCTCCCCTACAGAGCTTTGGTCCAACGCCAAACCCGACGCTGCCGGCCTTCGCGTTTGGGGCTACAAGGCCTTCGTTCTCATCCCACCCGCCGACCGCTCCCGCGCCGCTGGCAAGCTTGCTCCTCGCGCCCTGGAATGCGTTTACCTTGGGCACAATCGCGACTCCCCAGGCTACCTCTTCCTCCACCCTCCCACCAATCGCCTCATCCGCAGCGGCGACGTCGTCTTCGACGAATCCGTCCCCTATTACTCCACTCCTCCCCCTGATCCTCTCCCTCCTCCCACTCGTCCCCTTGCTTGGACCGACACCGTCCTCCCGCCCCTTCTCCCTCCAGCCCCTCTGCTCCCACCCGTCGCAGCTCCGCTCCCGCCCTCCTCCTCCGCCGATGTCTACGACCCTGCCGCACCCGCTTCCCCCGCTCACTCGGCCGCACCCCCTCCCCCCCCTCCCTCCTCCTCTCCCTCTCCCTCCTTCCAGCAGCCGGATCAGCAGCAGCAGCAGCAGCAGCAGCAGCAGCAGCCGCAGCAGCAACAGCAGCAGCAGCCGGGACAGCAGCCGGGGCAGCAGCAGCAGCAGCAGCCGGGGTAGCAGCAGCAGCAGCAGCCGGGCCAGCAGCAGCAGCAGCAGCAGCGGCAGCCGGGACAGCAGCAGCAGCAGCAGCAGCAGCAGCAGCAGCAGCAGCAGCAGCAGCAGCAGCGGCAGCAGCAGCAGCAGCAGCCTCAGCAGCCTCAGCTTCCGCAGCACCAGCAGCAGTAGCGGCGTCGTGCCACTTCCCGTTCCTCCCCCTTCCTCCTCCCTTACATCCATACCCGCTCTGTGGACAAAATCCTTGGGGCTCCTCCTCCTGCCTCCATTCAGCTCCTTGAGGACTCCCATGAGGAGTTTCTTAACATTCGGGAGCACACTCCATTCCTTGCCGCCCTCTACCTTGACTTCCTGGGCTTTCCTGTCCTTGGCGCCACTACTACCCCCACCATCTTCACTCCCTCCACCTTCCAGGAAGCCATCACCTGCCCTGATGCGGATAAATGGATAGCAGCGATCTTCCTGGAGTGTGAGGCTTTCATTCGCAACAACTCCTTTGTCGATGTCCCCCTCCCTGCTGGCGCTAATCTCGTTGACGGCAAATGGGTCTTTCGGGTGAAGCAGCTGCCGGGCGAGGAACCAGTGTACAAGGCCCGCTACTGCGCCAAGGGGTTCACGCAGACTTGGGCTGAGGACTACTGGTTCACCTACGCCCCCACCGCCAAACCACCCACCCTTCGCGCCGCCATGGACATTGGTGCACGTGACGACATGGAAATCGACTCCATGGACGTCTCCAATGCGTTCCTGCAGGGCGACCTGCATGAGCGCATTTTCCTCCGGCGACCCCCCGGGTTCCACGCAGCCTTTCCTGAGAACACTGTCTGGCAGCTGCGTCGCCCCGTCTACGGCTTGAAGCAGGCACCGCGTGAGTGGCATGCGAAGCTGGCTGCCACCTTGGGGTCCCTCGGCTTCTCTGCTTCCCACTCCGACGCCAGCCTCTTCATCCGCTCCTCCCCCCGCCGCTTCTTCATTCTGGTATATGTCGACGACATGATCCTGCTCTCTGACACCAAGGCCGACATGGAGCAGGTGAAGCTGTCCCTGCAGCAGCGGCTCAAGTGCAAGGACCTTGGCGCCCTCACTCACTACCTCGGCATGACCATCACGCGCAACCGCCCTGCTCGCACAATCACCCTCTCCCAGTCCCATTACATCGGCCAGGTCTTGGAGAAGTTCGACATGGCGCAAGCCAAGCCTGTTTCCACCCCGCTCCCCTTCGGTCACCAACTCGCTCCACCCACCTCCCCCACCTCCTCCCCCCACCCCTATGCCGAGCTCGTTGGGTCCTTGATGTACGCAATGATGTGCACCCGCCCCGACCTCGCCTACCCCATCAGCGTGCTCGCTCGCTTTGTCGGCACCGGTCGTCACTCTGAGGAGCACTGGAAAGCTGCCAAGCGGGTCCTCCGCTACCTTCGCGGGACTAGGGACCTTGCCCTCACCCTCGGCGGCCCTTCCCGTCCCCTTCTCTCGGGCTTCAGTGACTCCTCATGGGCTGACACGCAGCCGGACCGCCGCTCCTCCCAGGGCTACGGCTTCACCCTTGGCAGCGGCCTCATCAGCTGGCGCTCCACCCGCTCCTCCGCCATCTCTCTCTCCACCTGCGAAGCCGAGCTCTACGCTGGCACCATGGCCGCCCAGGAGTCGCGCTGGCTCTGCTTCCTTCTTGCGGAGCTTGGCGCCCCCCAGACGTGCCCCACTCTCTGGTGCGACAACGCCAGCACCATCCATCTCACTCAGGACCCCGTCTATCACGCCCGCTCCAAGCACATCGAACTCCGCTACTTCTTCGTTCGCGAGCTCGTCCAGAAGGGCCTCATTGCCGTTCGCAAGATTGCAACCGAGGCCAACTTGGCCGACATCTTCACTAAGGCCCTCCTTCGCCCCGCGCACTCTGCCTTCCTCCGCCTCATTGGCCTTGCTCGCCCGGGCGCCCCTTGATTCAGGGGTTGTTCTCTTCTTGTGTTAGCATGCTAAGGGGTTGTGTTAAAATATATATTGTGTAGCATGCCAACACATGTGACTGTACACCAATTGTGGTGTACAGTTGGGTTGGGACTACACCCAACTTTGGGTGTAGTCTTGCACTTTGGGGTGCCAATCCACCCAATTGTGGTGGAGCCCCCAAATGCAACCCTCTTGACTTGTGGGTACCTCACTTCCCACAATTGAGGTTACCCCAAGCCAAGTGGGCCTAGGGTTGCCTCACTTCTACAAAGTGTGGGCAACCCAACCCACTTGACCTATGGTTCCCTCACTTCCCCAAGTGAGGTCAACCCAACCTATGGTCACTTTTATCCTTCCCTTCCAACCTTCCCTTCCAACTATGTATGCTAGGTTGTTCCTCTAATCTAATTACTTGTTCAATTCACAATCTTCACAGCTGCCGCTGCTGCAGCGGTTGCTGCAACGACTGGCAGGGGTGCTGGCTCGGGTGCCGGTCCTCCTCTCCTCCCCCCTTCCAGCATCCCTCCCGCCTTCCTCTCCCCAACTGCCAAGACACACTCGGCACCTCTATTAAGCCAGGCAAACGGACAAGTGTCACCAGCCGCTGCTGCAGCAGCCACTGCGCTGCTGGCAGGGGCGGGAAGGTTAAGTGAAGGCGGAGGGGCAGGGGCAGGGGGAGTGGGGTCGCCTCGAGCAGGAGGGGGGGTGGGATCGCCACGCACGCCCGGCGCGTCAGGATACACGGAGTTCAATGATTATTTGGATGAAGGGGACGAGGTGAGTGTGTGTGTGTGTGTGTGTGTGTGTGTGTGTGTGTGTGTGTGTGTGCGTGCGTGCGTGCGTGTGTGCATGCGTGCGTGCGTGCGTGTGTGTGTGTGTGTGTGTGCGGGGGGGGTGAGAAGTGGGTGGGCTTGGCTTCTTGAAGGGAAAGGTGCTTTGAAGATTCCAGTTTTCCTGGCGCGTCAGGGTACATGGAGTTCAATGATTATTTGGATGAAGGGGACGAGGTGAGTGCAGGCGGAGGGCAGAGCGGGAGGGGGGGTGGGATTACCACGCACACCTGGCGCATCAGGATACACAGAGTTCAATGTTTACCCGGATGAAGGGGATGAGGTGAGTGCGTGTGTCGTTTTGAGGAGAACTGGGTGGGCTTGGCTTTCTAAAAGGAAGTAGGATTTTAGGTTTGCAAGTTTCCTGGTGCGTCCGTAAGGGTACACAGAGTTGAATGTTTACCTGGATGATGGAGATGAGGTGAGTGTGTGTTTGTGTGCGTAGTGAAAACTGGGTGGACTTAGAGGTTTCCAGGTTTCCTGGCGCATCAGGGTACATGGAGTTCAATGATTACCTGGATGAAGGGGACGAGGTGAGTGCAGGCGGAGGGGAAGGTGGGATCAGCATGCACGCCCGGCACATCAGGGTACACGGAGCTTAATGGCTATTTGAACAAAGGGGACGAGGTGAGTGCAGGCGGAGAGGGAGGGGAAGGGGGAGGGGGAGGGGGAGGGGGGGCATCCCCCCTTCTGTACCCATCCCTCCGCTGTACAAATTCCTTCTCTCAGGTGGCTGAGGAGGTGCTTTCATGGCTGCTGCGGCTGTTCCCTAGCGGCAGACGCAACGGGCAGCCCGTGCAATGATAGGGAAAAGGGGACGGGGGAGAAGAAGAGGGGGGGGGGGGGGGGGGAGGGGGGGTGGTAGACGAATTCGGTCAGGCCGGGACGGGATATGGGATGAGTAATGACTTTTGAGTCGACTCATAAGCTGGTTGCTTCTAGCGTAAACAGAAGGGGCTTTAGTGCGGGTGTGGGGAGGGGAATGGGTTAGAGGTCTTGCTGGAGCTAGTTTTTAAGAGGCAAAATGCTTGAGAGGAAGGGGAAGGAGAGGCATCATGAGAGGGAGGTGAGGGTAAGAAAAATGATAGGTCACTGAGATGGTGTGTTGAAGTGCGTTTGACAGGCTGTGTTGACTAGAGTAGGCTGGTATGTTGGGCATGCATGTGCTCAGCCATAGTTGATACTGCTACGGTAACTTAACACAACTGAAGTAAGGTAGTAGGGTAGCTGCTGGTAACATTCTTCACTGTTGTAACAGTAGAGCCTCACTTCTTGAATCTTGTTCTAGGGTATCCTGTTTAAAACTGTTCTGTCTTTGCAGCTTAATTCTTGAAATTACCTCAAGTAAAATATGATCTATTACCGCAACATACAACACACAACATTTCCACTTGCTGCTAGTTTTGTACTTCGACCTTTACATGGGAAGAACCTATATGGCCCTCTCTGCAGGGCAAGGAAGGAAACATCAGCTGCATGTGAGGTTGAGTGACTCTCATCTTGCTGTAGTGGTAATCGCAACTAGGGTTTGGATCCTGGAGTCCTGAGTACCCCCTCAGATCAGATCTGTAAGAGATCGGTATCTCTTATCTCCACCCCAAATCCCGCATCTGCAACACTAGACTAACCACCCCAACCCCAAGAACTACTGCGCAGGCGTGGTTGTGACGGACGACTTGGGCTTGACACCGATCTTCTTCCAGGAGACAGCTGGCATGATCTGATTGGCGTCGACGCGGTCCTTGTAGATCACGGCGAAGTTGAGCAGAGAGTCGAGCAGCGCGTCTCCCAGGAAGTGCGGCTGCAGCCCCAGCTCCAGCAGCTTGGTGCGCTTGGCGTTGTAATAGTGCTCCTCCGCCTGGTGAGTATGGGGTAGGAAGGGGTACAAAGCGGTAGAAAGGGATGCATGGGGAAGTTGAGCAGCAAGTCGAGAAGAGCGTCTCCCAGGGAGCGCGGCTGCAGCCCAGCTCGAGCAGCGCGGTGCGCTTGGCGTTGTAATAGTGCTCCTCCGCCTGGTGGGTGGAACAGAGGATAGAAAGGGGTAGAGAGTGGTGGAGAGGGTGAGATAGGGATACATGGGTTTGTAAGTCGAGAAGAACGTCTTTCAGGGAGCGCGGCTGCAGCCCCAGCTCGAGCAGCGCGGTGCGCTTGGCATTGTAGTGGTGCTCCTCCGCCTGGTGCGGTGTGATGGGATTGAGTGGAACAGAATGAGATACGAAAGGG